GTAACCAGCTGTTAACAGCGTCGATATTGCACGCTTCCTAGGGCTGGTCAATCTAGGTCACATGGTCAATAAAGGTCACCTAATTCCGTTGTTACCAGACCCCATTACGCACCGGACAGCAGATGGTTCCGTCCGAACTATTGATTAGAGGTATTTTGAGGACAAGGTCGATCCTTATAAACAAAAAATATTGCTGATTAGAATTGGTAAAATGGAAGCAAAATTGCATAAGCTTATTGATGATATTAAATGGGTAATGTAAATCGAACTTCGGTAAATACTATTAATCGGACAATGCATACAGGAGGGAAAAAAAAGAAGGAACAAGTCCTGTAAGGTCATGTGTCTTGAAAGAAAATGAAATGTTTTGTGTACCAAGCAGTATTATGTAATTTTGGTTTTATGGTGTTTGTCCTCCTTTTACAATAGCCTTAAATCACACCTAGGACACACGTAACGCGACACCAGTCTATAAACACAGACTTTTATCTTGCTGTACTAAAGCCCGCCTCAAGTTCATTGTACTTTAAGTTTATTGTCTTATGGTCATCTCTCTACTTCTTAATCCATTTTTATCCCCCATCAGAAACAATTCTAGGGAGTAAGTTCTACGCTTTTCACTCAGAAATCTATGAAGATAGCTGGCTGACATACGACACATGGTCGTCTGTCGCCATAGTAACACCCAATATACCAGGGGTAGCTCTGTGTGTATCCGGTAGGCATTGGCTTTAGCATTGCAGCCAGTTGCATGCTTAATAAAATACGGTACCAGGGGACCTTATGTCCAATACCTGTGGCAAAATCAATAAAAAAAACTGTCGCTTTATTTTATGGAAATCTACTTTCCTAATACTTGAAAAGTAAAGATGTTCTAAAACGCTTTTCAATGTTAAGAGGGAAAAAAAACGTTCAGAAAAGTCGAACAAAGGCAGTTGTTTCAGTAATTAGTGATTAGTAGTCGCTGGTTTATTTGCACATTTTATGATGATACATATGATAGAGGTTGGTGATGACAAAGAACAATGATAACAAAAAAGGAAGCTGAGGATGCACATGGTTCATTAGAAACAATACGTACAAAGCGACCCGATCAGGAAACCCTTGTAAAGAGTTAGTGCATCCAGGACAAAGCTTCAAAGTGACCCAGATCAATCAGTGGCTGGCCATGATGATCACAAACAAAGTACAATGACACAAACCCTTCCAATTATCGTTACGATAATGTAACGTTTTTCAATATCCGCGACAACGGAAGCAAGACGTTTGCCTACGCTCTCCGGCTAGATCTAGTTCGCACTCAGAGTGACCGATATCTAACTAATGAAGGACTTCAATTTTGCATTTCGGAGTTTTGATGATTACAAAAGCCCCATCGACCGCTATACTGGCCATTGTTTGTGTTATATCCTCTTGGGTCTCATATTGCCGGTGTAGCATCATTGATTAGATAGTAAATGTCATATAACGATCTAAACGGTGTCATTTTTTCTACTCTGGGTTTCTGTTATTGACCAACACTAAAATGGTTTGAGTGATATTAATACCATGAATAAATTATACATACATCGCTTATTGACTACAATGCAGTCGTATTCCTGTAATAGATGTTTTATATTTGTCATCTACTGTCGCTTTCTTTGATATATCGAGATTATTCTTCAGTGTTGCAGCAAAAAGAATGGAATCTTGACCTAATACTCTCATATAAAGATGTGCCCATCTTCTCATTCTCTTGTTTCCTTGATTTTGGCTTATACTTTAAACGTTTTAATTTGAAGCAGTTTGAAGTCATCACATCAGATAGACAGTTTCAGTTTATTAGGAGGATGTTATTGATGATATGTTAATAAATCAAAGGTCATATCTATGTGATTACATGACAAAACCAGTAATCAGAGGCTTTCACTTCTTCTGTGTGCATAGAATGTAGTCAATTTTAATGACTAGATATTTCGGTATATCTGCCTTTCGTGGTCCCTTCAATGAAACTGATTAAGTTTATTTCTTTAATGATAAGACGAATGACAAGGTCTGAGTTGACTGGACAATAGAAAAAAGGCCTAGACGAGCTATACGGAAAAAAAGACCCCGGACGAGATAGTTTTGAATCAGAAGGATCTTTTTGATGCAAATAGGCTGGGAATCAATGTGACTAATGAACTTCTTTTCATGTCCGGAGAACTTATTTCATCAGGTCGTGGTATTTGTCTTTGATCGGCAGATTGTTACGGCGTTGGGATAATTTCACTAATAAGAGATCTTACCGTCCGGTGACGCACAGAAAATAATTCCAAACGGGATTCCTCTTTCATTAATCTACGAAATTGCACATTATAAAGAGTATAAGCAACGATAAAGATTGCATCTTTTTTCCCACTATGTACTTTTTATCTACCTGCTATCACAATTACTTAACTCTCAGTCTTTGTCTAGTGTCCTCTCATAATCATGTCATAGTGGCCAATTGTTTGCCTGACCTATTGAATATAGTTTGTTTATGTAAAGGTGATTCTAGTGTGTTACACTTACAAGGTTACTGACCCCTTTATTGGCCAACGTTCAAGTAGTTGATCTTCTGCGATCTTCCTTTTGGTACATTAATGGAATCATTAGCAGGGAGAGTTTAGTGTTTTATGTTTTTTGTTAATAAACGTAAAGTACTTGATAAAATTAAATGTACAGATGCAAGGTATTGTTTGGTTTTAAAATAAAATATTTCGTTGTAAGGGAAGTAACTCGTATGGTTAAAAATTCAACACATAATATTATTTCCAAGTCCGCTCTAATTATCTGTATAAACGGCCTGTCTTTTGCAGCTTCCGTTACATAATTCCATGGCAACGGTTGAATTTGTCATTTAATCTTCTTAAGATATTGCAACCCAGCCAGACATTAAAGCGTCTTTAATTTGTGCTAAAAAGCTCGCAGTATCTCCGCTCACCAAAGCATTAAAAATCAAGTGATTTACTGTTACAGGTCATTATACGTCCACATCCGGAAAAAAACAAAGTTCAATGGCCCTGGTCTCCCCTGGCTAACTTACATCGTCCCCCATGTAGCTAGAACAGACTTGTATTTGGTCATTTCCCCCGTTTTAATGTATCCACCAGAAGACTGTTTACTACTCCCTTAGCCTTGCGGTGTACGGAAAGGTTCATCATGTGGCATTGGCCGCCAGTGACCAGATTGCCGACATAACCAATGAAGAAAACACATGTTCCTAGCATCAAATACAATTTAAATTGAAGTGAACAAAAGAACGTTAGGATAAATGGCCTTGTAGATGATCTAGCGCTAGAGAGGCATAAATTAAAATTGTTTGTTAGTTGATTCCATTTTCAATCCTATGCATAGTAAGTAATTTAGCTGCAAACACTGGATGTGTTTAAATTTTTCTACTACTTCTTTTAGTGTTTCTTCTTCCTTATTAGTAATCTTTCTGATAGTCAAAAGTTTTGGTAGCACAAGAAAAGAAAGTCAATTTTGTTTCCGGTTTGGATTCAGAATTCAGTCTTGCTCTCTATCATAGAACCCCCTTCGTCCGGTTAACTACCGGTCTAAGCTGATAGGGACTTTTCAATTGAGAAGGCAATGTTGATGGATGAGTAAATATAATTACCATTTGCGCTGACCATTCAATTGGTTATGGAAAGCGTCACTTAGATTTTGAATACGCGCTTTGTTGGTCAAGTCGTCAAAGAAGCATTAACAATTTGATAAATTACAGATTGTAGTACCAATGTTATAGAATCATTAATACTGTCGGAGATGAGTAAATTGTTTTAACAGCAAGATATAGGCGGAAAGAAGTTTTTGAAAAATCGATTGTGTGTTGGTCATTCAAGCGATCTCTTCACTTATGTGGAAATCAGCCAACCGAATCAAAAGCAACCCCTTTTTAGTTGATAAGCCACTTTGGGAATGTTTATTTTCATATTTAAATATTCCAATTTCATGCTATAGAGTTTGCCCAAGTACAACATGTTACAAAGTATTGATTTGTTGATAGTAAATCTAATGTGTTGTTTTTTTTCTGAGAAATTTTTTAACGTTTTAAACATAAAGAAAATATAGTTAAGAGGCGAATTACTTAGGGTATAATATTTATAAATTAATTCTTTGAACACAAATCAACAAAATTGAAAGGGGAAAGTAATCGAAATCTATATATTGATAAAAGTGTATTGAATTCTCTTTCTTTTTTCACAGCGGACTTTGACCTTTCGTCTCTAACTTGTTTTAAAATTCTTAAAATTTGAGATTAAGGTTTCGTAAAATGAGATGCAAACTGTCCAGGAACAGCTGGCGATATGTAAACTAGTTGTGTCACAGTAACTGTTGTTATAAAGAAAATTTTATACTTCAGCCTCGGACAGCTGAAAAAAAAGTAGATTACACAATGGCTAGAGGTTATGCCGAGGCTTTCACCCCCTTTCCGTCGCTCTTGTATTGTGCAATACGCCATATCGTCTTTCGCGATTTCAGCCATTATGTCATTCCCGTCACGTGTTGTTCAAATAACCAATTGTCATTTATTTAAATAGTGTCATCTTGGAGAACGCGAAAGGTGATGTTTTTCAGGTCCTTTGTTTGTTATATCATTCTCTTGATCATAAAAGATCCCACGGACATTTAAAACGATGAATACATCACTGAATTCAATGTCCTGAACGCGCCTGTACGGTAGAAGGGCATTGTGCCGGCTTTATAGGAAAGGCTATTTGATAAAATCAGTGATTGGAACTGTTTTAAGTCATTATGCAAACTAGACATTCTTAAATATTTCTTTGTTCGTCCCGACAAGTGAAATGGTCATGCCCATACATTGCATGAATAAACTTACCAGACATTTAACATTTATATGAAGAACTGTTCAAAGTGAAATAAAACATGTTTTCAATTATTTCCGGATGGAATAAATAATTCCGAAAAGAATTCATGATTTTCCTCAAAAATATATTTCTAAAGTTTTAATAAAATACTCTTTTCCTTTACAGAACCGACGAGCTTCCTTTGTGAAAAGTGTAGGGGCACGTTTGATTCATCTTGGGTTCTTCTCCAACACGTTCAGAGAGACCATGGAATGAAAATATATTCAGATTTTACATCGTGCCCGACACCCCCAAAACAAGCTCGTACCCAGAACTCCTCAGGCGAAAAATTGTCGCAAAATCGAAATTCGCCACATCCTCCTCGAAATCCTAATAGTCAGCGGGATAACAAAGATCATGAAGTGAAAGACCGCGACAGCTCATTACAACAGCTGCCTCACGAAATTCATAGGGCTCCCTCTACTCCAAGTTCAGGAAGCGTAGAGAGTGGACATGGTCCTCATCGACAATCGCCACAAAATCCTTTTCTCAATTTTAGATTTCCACCTTTTGATCGTCCTTCTTTATCTCCAGGTCCTCTTTTTCCAAGAGTACCAGGTACAGACTTCCCTGCCATCCCAGTTAGTGAGGCTCTACATTTACAACAGAGAAGCATATTAGGGTTTCCTCCAGCTATTTTTGATGCAGGTCGGCCTTTCCCTTCTGCATTAAGTAATATTTATGACAGACAAAGACCTTCTTCGATAGGGATAGAAGACTCCTTTTACTCAGAAAGATTAAAAGAATTAGCAAGAGGTCCAACTTCACCGGTTCGCAGGCAAACACCTCCTTATTCTCAGGCAAGATCAGTTTGTAATATATTTACCCCTCTGACAACATCTACGAACACAACGCCGACAGATACAAAGAAAGAGCATGGATCTGGAAGTTTGACCCCACCAAACAAAATGAAATCATGCGAGTTTTGCGGCAAGTCTTTTCGATTTCAGAGCAATTTGATTGTACATCGCCGTTCTCACACCGGAGAAAAGCCTTTCAAATGTCGTTTATGTCCACACGCATGTACCCAACAAAGCAAGCTCAAACGTCATATGAAAACTCACATGAAATCGCCTGTGTCCAATGTTTCAAACGAAGGCAGCATTGGTTCTGGAAGCAGCACACCCGAAAATAAAAAGTTTGACGAAAAAGATGAATATGACGACGAAGAAGAGGAAGAAGAAGAAGAGGAGGAGGAAGAAGAAATGGAAGAAATGGAAGAAGAAGAAAATCCTGAGATAAATGAGGGCTCGGGTGACGAGAAAAAAAATAGCGAAAGCAAAGGTGGCTTGTTAGCGGCAAAGCTTCTACAAAATTCAGATCAATCTCCTACTGACTCAGAAAGAAAGCTAGCAGAGTCTTACGTCAGTTCTGGTACCTCTTTGTTGACAGAGGTTATGAAGTCAAGTGGACTTCGTAATTTACACGTTTACAACGAAGCCTTCAGACAAGCTCTCGCTGAAAATACAGATCTGAATATCAAGAAAGAAGTGTCTTCGCCAAACGATGCACGGGAGGATTCGCTCACTAACGGAAACAGTGTTAGTGGAATAAAAGAAGAGTCGAAAGATAGAAATAGCCGTCCATCGTCCGTCTCTGAGCAAGAAACATCCAAAGGAAACAAAAACGAAACAAACGACGGACCTTTGATTAACAGCGTTAGCGGTATGGAAAACGTATTTTCACCAATATGGCAGTACCATGGTCAACAACCGCATGAATTTTTCCCACTCATCCCTTCATTGAACAACTTGAATAACTTTCGGTATGAGGCCAGAGATCCGAATCACAATGGCTACAACAGCCCGAATCATGAAAGTGCCTTGAAGTCGCTCACAGTTCAAGGCGGAATCCCCAAACCAGCGTCGTCCAGCAACACCACATTGGATTCAAATGGTATACCGTCCGCCAGCCCAAGAAGAGACAGGACACGAAATGATACGTGTGAGTACTGTGGAAAGATCTTTAAAAATTGCAGTAATCTGACCGTTCACCGTCGTTCTCATACTGGAGAAAAGCCCTACAAGTGCGAATTATGTAATTATGCATGCGCACAATCGAGCAAGCTCACTCGTCATATGAAGACTCACGGAAGAATAGGAAAAGATGTCTATAGATGCAAGTTTTGTGGTATGCCTTTCTCCGTTGCGAGCACCCTAGAAAAGCACATGCGGAAGTGTGTCGAAAAAGGCTCAGGGATGCAAGGCTTTGGGCGTCAAGATATGGACTCGGATAATTCAAACTCCGTTGCCACGTCAGGATTGCATGACTCGCCCAATTCCCTCGTTTTAACGAATTCTGTTGCTCAATAGGAATTCGTCATTTTTGCTCTTCTAGTGTGGCAAACAAACTTTGTATCGAATACTCGCTCTCTGTTTTTATATTATCAAATTTCTTGTACGACTTAGTAAAAATGATTAATTGGCAATACTAGGACTGAACAATATTGCTTAGACGACTCGGCTTTGACATATGCTTTTACATAAACGATTTATATCCCGGTGATTATCATTTTCATACAGAAGACCATCGTATGGTTTTAGTCATAAAATTTTGCCATAATATTTGTGTACCACGTGAAGCAGGGTACTTGATGTCAGAGACGAATGATCGCTTTTCACTTAGGTGTTTTATTATATTTGTGTGTATTCTACAATGATGTCTATCTTATTGGTAATTATTGGTGCTTCATTATGAGAATGTTAATTCTGGCGAAAATTTTCTCTTTATCCTTGTAATGTGTATGTATTCCTTTCTCCGATATTGTTTTCATCCAGATAGAGTATATTTTTGTTGTAATTTTTTTTGTGCTGAAAAGGGTTGTGGATTGCAATGGTACACTTTTTATAGAAAAACATATTTGCTTGGAAGAAGTCTGCAGTGTGACTTTAAACTGCATTTAATTTTCATTTTAATGTATATTTTTGGAAAGAAAATCCCGGTTTAGTTGTTTACGAAAATGGCATGTAACTGTTGAATGGCGATTGGTACCAATTTTATCGGTACATTGATATAGTTTCAAAAACTTCACAAAGTAGATTTTAAGACACATTTTTTATGTTTTGAAATGGCTGCCATATTTGACACTGTAACAAATTATTGCCAAGGGCTTTCAATACGGAGAATGGAAATACAGCTTGACTATTGTGATCATATAGAGAAGGTATTACATCGGAGGAGTGAACTTATTATTTCAGAGCTCATGAGGGTTATAGACGGCAGAACGGTAACAGGATACTAAAAGACTGCAGTGAAAAAGAAACTGAGGCAGCAATACACTTACATTGCAGCAAATATTTGGTGCCCAAGTCCATCTGACCTATGTCCGCTATATTCTTGATTTATAATACCCAGTGCCTATTGTGTCCTTTAGACTTGGATTAATGAAAAAACGTTAGCATTACAGCCATTGAAAACAATGACTTTGTAAGAGAGACGAAAAATGTTAAAATATTTATTACCGGCAGCTTTGAAATTTCAAACGTATTTTGATTTTATTGTTGGTAATACGCTGCAAATACATAAAGTCAAGAAATGGTTTATCTTTATTTTCTGTATATTGTGCCATTGCTTTTTAGAAATTAGATGAAGAAATTATTTAGTTTGTTAGATTTAGGAAAGTTTTTCTAATTTTTTTCATACTTTTCAAAATAGTCTTAAGGTTCATACATTTTTTTTCACTTTGAACAAGTAGTTTAAAATTGTATAGCATTTTCAGCTATAAAATACTGGCTTTGTGTAGTATATGACTGTGCAACGCATGATTCTAAATATAGCATGTTTTTAGGGAGAATGTATATATATACATATATATGTAGGAACCTTATTTGGTGTTTGATGTTTGGTTGCCCATTCCTTTTCAACTTACATCCAGTTTTAGGATGAACATATTGTGCCATAGCAAGGTTTTGCATGTAAAAGAATACATTGCCGTGACTTGCAATATTGTGTTATGTTTTCCCCAGTTTGTTTACATTTACTATCAGGCGCTAATTTAAAACAAAATTCTTGTTCGTTTTTTGCCATAATGTTTTATTTGTTTTTCGAAGTTTTAATTGACATTAAAACGCTGAAAAGAAGAACTGCACCGTCAGTCTAAAAAGGATATACAGACTAAGATTATAATGCAAATAAAATGCTACACTGATGACGCTTTTCGAAATTTCGGTATCACTGTTAGTTAAATTTACTGAATCTAACAACTGAAAGTTTTTCCTAAAAAGTTAAAATACTAAGAAATGCTTTATTATTGTTTGCATTGTAACATTGTAATGTTGCTTAGTAATAAAAAGTGCTGCTTGTTTCAACTTTTTATATTGTGAAACTTTTCAAATAAGCTTAATTGTGCCATATCGGTTAACTGTGAATATATTTTGAATCCTTGTTTATTTGTTTTTTTTAACAATTTGTAAAATACAGTAGTAAAGTAATGATTTTTAAGATTTTTCCCATTTTAAGTAGGTCTTAGATGACAATATGTACTTTTTTTTATTGACACAATATTTTATCAATTAAAATGTATCTATGAAATATGCATTTGGTATATGTATTGGCAAGAATTGGTGCAAATGAAAATATAGTGCTAAATTTGTTTTCTTTTGAACATCAGACTTGATATATTTTGGTGCATTTGTTTGTTGAAAAATTGTATTTTGTGAATTCATGTCCTCATATAAGTTATAAATTTGAAATTGGTATTTCTAATAGAATTTGAATATACATTTATTTTCTTTTATTGATGTGTTCACCATGAATGAAAAGAAATTAGAACAAATTGGATTTAAGTCAGTTGATTTATGTACTTAATTCAGAGCAATTTAAGTAGTACTGTCACGTGGTACACGAGCAGATGTTGATCTCTAAATTGTGCGCATCATTTTCTCGTCATTTTTATGCATATACATCCAAATGTTCTGAATTCTGTCGTGCCATACCATTTTTTCAATGAGAATATTTTTATTAATTTATACTTATTGTTGAAAGCCTATAAGTTACTCAGTGTCTCAGATAAGAGTTTGTTCAATTGAATTGTTTTGTCTTTTATGTTTAGTTCTTGGTGTTATCAAATGCTGCCATGTTTTGGATTCGAATGTAGTTAATTTTTTTTTAATTTCATTTTATCAACAAACAGTTTTAGATATTCAATAAAGTCAGTTAATTGCTTTTCTTTAGCTCGAGCACCTAATTAGTTTTCCTGTTTTGTGTGTTTCAAACGTAAGTTCCGTTAAAGCACAGTTACCCATTTGCCTCTGTTAAAGGATTTAACAGTTGTTTTTTTTCTCTTTTTGATTTTGTATATCACCGTTTGAACAAAACGTGTTGTGGTTTATTTGTTTAGATAATAATCAACGAAGAACTTTCATGCTATGAAATTTTCAATTACTATTTATTGTCTTCATATTATTTACCCCCCAACTTATATAGAGAGATTTTGGGTTTCAACTGGGGTTTTTCCATGCATTTTTAAAAAAAAAAAATCAAATCCTATCTCTGCACTTAAAGAACAACAGATTGTATGAAATGTGGTATTATTACCAAATAAAATGAAAAAAAAAATAAGTTTGGAAAATATGCGACAGTGCAACGCATGGAACAACCCCAGCAGCGATGGTTTCTATTTCTCATTTTAGAATCTTTAAGGGATGTCATCAAAATTTTTCATGGAGATTCTTAAGGTAATTCGGTGGTTTCGACTAACAGACATCCCTTCAAGAACTTTTTTTATTGGACCCATCGTTTCCCCTGTACATTTGATGTACTTTACTCGTCCAATAATTAAGCTTGTTGTATTTAAACTGTGAATGTTTGTATGAAAGTACAAAGTACAGTGTAAAATTTAATAAACATTTTATCTCTTCGGCAAATACCTTGTTTTCTTTTGTCATTCCCGGAGATTTTAAAAGTTTACAAAAAGAAAATAATTTTAAACCCAGACAAATGAGAAAATTTAAATATGCATCAAAATTACAAAACCGTTTTAAAAATAATTTTGAATAATCTCTCTCTTTCTCTCTTTCTCTTTAAATGTGATATCGTATGATAGTTTACAGACATCATCTCATACCTCCTGGTATACTGGTGCAGGCGCTTCGGAGTCAATATAACAGGCTTAGGTAATTGCTAAACGTAACGGCAATGCATTACTTTCTCAAAATCAGACTAATGCTGGCATTACAAAGCATCACTTTGTATGAACGTTTCCATGTGAGTGAAAAATTCTCGAGAGGGACGTTAAACAATATACAATCATTCAATCAATAAAAAAAAATTGGACATTGAAATTACTGTTAAGTTAATGAATGAAAAAAGTGAACCTATTTATATGAATAATAATCCCTGTAATTAAACACATTTTTTAATCTGCTGAAAGTAGAATTACCACATATTTAAATGTTCTTACTTTTTTTAAAGGAATATTTTAAATAGTTTTCATATCGAAAAATATTTTTGGTATGAGACACACTAATTAATTGCCATTCTCTGTAACCACTTAAACTTCGTTGCCACGCATGGTCACCGATTTTGATGAAACTTCACCCATGCCTAGTACTTGACACCAGAAACAAATATCAAACAAAATTTCGTTGCTAAGTGTCTCGGTTGCTATGGCAACAACCGGAAAGATTTGAAAAATCGAGATTTTCAGCCACTTTAAATCCTGACTGTGGCCTAATAAAAACTAGAAAAAGCAAACAAACCATTCTAACAAAAACATGACACCTTGATGTCACTTATACTGTAAAGAAACTGTTTAGAATATATCTCTAAGTAAGTGGTAACCAAGGGTACATTTGGAATACATCTAAAATGCTGAAATATGCTGAAAAACACTCCATATTCACTAATGGTAGGTGTTACATGCTAAAACTCAATCATCGACTTAAGAAAAACAATGAAAATGTTTGATCTTAAGTATACAAGTATAAGCAATATTATTCTATAAATAAATTTTATGGTTGCCATGGTAACACAGTGTAACTATGCAAAACCAGTAACTAAGATTGGGTTAATGCTACTGTCTTGAGGAAAAACATGAAAATTCAAGACTGGCAAATATGCATCCTTAGGACCTTGCAACACCAAAACCATAAGAAAAATTGGGTAAAATTGCTACTTTGCAGTGTTACCATGGAAACAAAGTACCAGTGCTTAAAAGTGAATTATTTTTCACTGCATTAAGAATTAAACTGCCATATAATCAAGAAACAAATTAAAGGATTCAGCTTGAATAGTACTTCTCTGTTAGAACTGAAGTTGAATATCATATATTGATAAAAGTTGATGAAGAAAACAACACTGTTGCTATGGTAACCAAGAAGGGAAAATGTTCAATTTTGTGAACTTTATATCAATATTAAACCCTGTGTGCCAACTTCTTGCATCCACTTAGAGATTGGATGATAGTCAAAATTTAAAGTCAGGTTAGCTGTTAATAAATATGAATCATAAAAGTTTTGGGAATCTACATATAAGGGTACGTATCCAAGGAAAGAAAATATTTTTCAGGTTTTTAAGCATATATTTTCTGCTTATCTCCATAGCAACGCTCTATTTAAAGAATCTTATCTGAATTTTTTCAAATGGGAAAACTAGGAGCACACCAACATCTTTAAAAATTGATCATTAGTTATGAGGAAATGTGCTTTTTTAAAAGATAGGTTCAGATTTAAACAAACAGAGTGTTACTTTGAAGGCTCTCTGTGGTGTAAAAACCTTGACAACCATTGCCAACCAAAATGAAATATCATATTTTGTTCTTGGTATATGTTTCAAGGCTCTTTTTTCTATTATTTGGTCACATTTCATCCTATAATTGTTTTTAGGTCACCTGAGTCACTCAGGTGACCTATTGCTATCTGTTTTTGTCCGTCGTCGTCCGTCGTTCGTCGTACGTCGTTCGTCGTTCGTCGTCAATCGGTCGTAAACTTTTGAACATTTTCAGCTTCTTCTCTGCAACCACTGAACCAATTTCAACCAAATTTGGCACAAAGCATCTATGGGTGAAGGGGAACAAAAATTGTGAATTTCATGATCCCTGCCCCCCTGGGGCCTGGGGGGTGGGGCCAAAACCACTAAAATTAATGCAATCTTCAAAAATCTTCTTCTTTACTCCTGGACATCAAGCAGTCAAACTGTTTGCATGATTGTAATCAGCATTGAGTCCTTTACCAAAATTGTGAAATTCATGGCCCTGGGGTCAGGGGTTCTTGTACTAGGGCGGGGCTAAATAAGTATATATTGAAAATGCATTATTTCTTTGAAAATCTTCTTCTCTGCTCCTAGATTTTATATAATTTAACTAAGTACATAGTTATGATGAGCAAGAGTGCCTCTACCAAAATTGTGAATTTTATGGCCCCAGGGTCAGGGGTTCTGGTTTTAGGGCGGGGCTCTATTGATTATATAGTGAAAATACATGAATTCTTTGAAAATCTTCTTCTCTGCTCCTAGGTTTTATATAAACTAAATAAGTGCATAGTTATGATGAACTAGAGTGCCTCTACCAAAATTGTGAATTTTATGGCCCAAGGGTAAGGGGTTCTGGTGTTAAGGCAGGGCTCTTTTGATTATGTAGTGAAAATACATGAATTCTTTGAAAATCTTCTCTGCTCCTAGATTTTATATAATTTAACTAAGTACATAGTTATGATGAGCAAGAGTGCCTCTACCAAAATTGTGAATTTTATGGCCCCAGGGTCAGGGGTTCTGGTTTTAGGGCGGGGCTCTATTGATTATATAGTGAAAATACATGAATTCTTTGAAAATCTTCTTCTCTGCTCCTAGGTTTTATATAAACTAACTAAGTACATAGTTATGATGAGCAAGAGTGTGACTACCAAAATTGTGAATTTTATGGCCCCAGGGTCAGGGGTTCTGGTGTCAGGGTGGGGCTCTATTGATTATATAGAGGAAATGCATGAATTCTTTGAAAATCTTCTTCTTTACTCCTGGGTATTATATAAACTAACTAAGTACATAGTTATGATGAACAAGAGTGCCTCTGCCAAAATTGTGAACTTTATGGCCCCAGGGTCAGGGATTCTGGTGTTAGGGCGGGGCTGTATTGATTATACATGTATAGTGAAAAAACATTAAATTTTTGAATATTTTCTTCTTTGCTCCTAGGTTTTAAGCAGATGAATTACCTATATAGTTATGAGCAATCCCTAATCTTCAAGAATTGTAAATTTCAAGGCCCCAGGGTCAGTTGTACCATAGTGGGGGGGGGGGGGAGGCTGTACTTATGTACTGAAAATAAATGGATTGTTTGAAATGTGCTCCTTGGTATTAATCAAATATTTTTGAAAAGCAAGTATGCCTTTCCAAAAATAGTGCAATGTGTGGATCTAGGCCTAAGAGTCAAGGGTTCATGTGTGGTAGCGGCACTACTGATTATTGCTGAATATTACTGATTAGTTGAAATGCATTTTTTGTTCCCCTACCCTGCCTATGGGTATAAAGTAACCAAACTAAGGAACTGCTAAGTGTATAGTTATGATGACCAGATTGTAAATGCTATAGCATCTGGCTTAAAACATGGATCAAATTCAGTCACTGGGAAGTTGTTGAATAATGCTCAGGTGACCTATAAGGCCCAGGGGCCTCTTGTTTATTTTTACGTGTATGACTTTAAATAATTCAATGAATATTTTTTTTTACTTTTGAATACTTTGTTACCATAGTAACGTATGTAATAGTTGATTTACCAAACATGTTTATCATGCATTTGAGACATCTGACCTTCAACTTTTGGAAACAGTCATTGCCAATTGTTTGCTTTGCCGCAAATGTTAACTATGCGGCTCTAAACATGTTAAAAAATGCCATTTTTCGAACTTTAAGACATGTTGCCATGGTAACTATAAAACATAGCAACCAATTTTTGCCTGATTTCAGTTCAGGGTATCAATGACTTTTATCATAGAGAGTTTGGAGAAATTCTGAGACTATGCGTGCCACAGCACCTATATAAAATTTCAAATCATTACAGAGAATGGCTCTTAATATACACTATAAATTGATAATTGCCACCTTTTTAATAGAGTGTCACCAAATTCACAAATTGTCTAAGGTTATGTAACATTTTAAACAATGTATTATTTTGAGAAGGAAGTACTTCTAAAACCAGTCCCTTTCTTCTGGCCGTATTTATATGAAACATTAAGCTGGTATAGCTTGAGCTGACCATGACATAATTGCAACAAAAGGAATAGACAAGCATAACAAAACGTACATACTGCCCAACCCTTATTAATTATAATTTTGTCTGCATTTGAGTTTTGTTATAATCTAAGGTACTATGTCCATAGAATCTTTACAAGTCTTATTAAGTTTAGTTTTGGGAAGGGAGTAAATTGCCATAAAAAGTTAAATTGCTTTATGACATTAATATATACACAAAAAGGCATATAGTTCATTTTTTAAAATCTACTTTGCAATTTAAAAGTTCGACCCTCCTATGATGTAAATAAATAACAGTGTAATAAATGCAAGTACTTGATATTAAATAATTATTATACCCCCCCCCCCCCGCTTGAAAAGTGGGAGTGTATACTGTAATCGGTATGTCCGTCCGTCTGTCTGTACGTCCGTCCGTCCGTATGTCCATCCGTCTGTCTGTTACGCTTTGGGGTACCCATCTCTTATCCGCAACTCCTCTTAAACCACTGAGTGAAATTTAATGAAACTTTCTCAGAATCTTTATTACATATTGCCATTGTGCACCTCCTATTTTACTTTTTGCTCCGACATATTTTGGGTTTCCCGGCCACAGTAAAACATGGACTTTGCCATTATAACCATATGGGAGGCGGGGGGTATCAATTAGTGAGCTCAATGCTCACAGTACCTCTAGTTTCAATTA